AATTCCGGCTGGCATCTATTTAAAATGCAAAGGAGAAAATAAAAGAAAATAAATATATATATTTATAAATATAAATATAAAATAAAAAATAAATATAAAATAAAATAAAATAGTGTATCAGAAGAAGCAGTGTCTGGCTTTGACCTGAACTTAAGTGACTAGGGAAGAAAGGCCCGCTGGAAAGAATGGGAAGGAGCATGAGAGAACTTTCTGGATGAAGGATATTTTGTGTGTGTGTGTATATATATGCATATATGTATTTTAAAGATTTTACTTATTTATTTTATTTTAGAGAGGGAGAGAGACGGCGTGCGTGAGCAGGGGGAGGGATAGATGGGGAAGGAGAGAGAAAAGCAGACTGCCTGCTGGTCGTGGAGCCTGATGCGATGCGAGGTGGGGCTTGTTCTCACGACCCTGAGATCATGACCTGAGCTGAAATCAAGAGTCAGATGCTTAACCGACTGAGCCATCTGGGCGCCCCAGGGATTTCTGTATATCTTGGTGGGAGTGTGGATTACCTGGGTCTTTGCATGTGTCAAAACTGTTCAAAGTGTACACTTAAGATCTGCTTATCTCACTTTCTCTATGTTAAACATCATATTCCGATTTACAGCATCTTCGAAGACCCAGGGACCTTCTCTTCTTCATTCAGCCATTTGGGTCCGTGCTTTTCCTTAGTCACTAACACTGGGAGGGAGTGTCAGGGTGAGCAGGCAGTCTCCACATAGGGGTGCTCAGGAGCTGAGTGGAGATCTACCAGACACACCTGCACAGACGCCAGCACCAGGAGGCTCAAGATTTCGGAGAACACCGCCTTGACCCAGGGGTGCGCCTTGGACCTTTACAACATCCTTTAGTACCTGATTTTTGTCCACTTGCTACCAGCACGAGAAGGTATTGCGTTTCCTCCTTAGAAACAAGGATGCCAAGTTTCCAATGTACAGAGTTACGATCCTCCTAAGTTGTGGATTCCACGTTTGGGAATTCACCTGACTTGCTACCATTTATTTAAAATCCCCAAATTGCTACTTAGGGCACTTCTGCGGTCATTCCTGGACATGAGCAGGGTGGAGAAAAATGGGCCCGGCCACACCCACACATTCCTATCAGAGGTTGAACCAGGTGATGATACTCGGCTTTCTTGTTTCAGTTCACGCTATAAACAAATGTCCTTTTCGGTATCTCTTTAGTGCCACATTTTCTGCATTGTCATGCATTTTGTCAGTGACGTCACTGTTTAAAATGGCCCCCAAGTGTTGTGTTGAAGTTCTGTCTAATGCTCTTAAGCATGAGAAGAACATGATGTGCCTTACGGAGAAAATACATGTGTGAGAGACTTTGCTCAGGCATGAGTTCTAGTGCTGTTGGCTGTGAGTTCAATGTTAATAAAACAATTTATAGTAAACAAGGTGTCTTTAAACGGAGACGCACATAAAACACAGACATGCTGCGACCAGAGGCTCCGAGGAACCTAGCCCTGGGACCATCCTCGGAGTGGTGGCTCGGCCTTCTCAGATTTGGTGTTTGTGGTGACTGACAGAACTACCATGAGTAACGGGAATTGCCTAAACTTGTCCAAACCCCATAGCACAATTGCCAAGAGTGAGAAGTAGATTCCAGTGATTTCCATCCCGGCCATCCCGCTAGGTCCCTCACAGCTCTCCCACGCCTGTTCTCGCTGTGGCATTTTGGGCAAGGGAGAGCTGCCAACAGCAGCCAAGAGCTGCTCGGTGCTGAGCAGCAAAGACAAAGCCCTTGTACATCTCTTGCTTTCTGAGAACGTGCGCTTAATAAGGCACACATGAATAAGATATGCAAACTTCAAAATCAGATGCGATGCCAGGTTAACGGAGGTGAGGGCAATCCAGCAGGAGCATCTACCACTCAGAGGAAGGCAGCTCGAGGCTGGGATGCGCATGGCAAGGGAAGGATGTGATTGAAGTAGAGCCATCTGGACAATCCTGGGGGTCGATCAAAGTCATTAGAGGCAGGGCACCCACACCCAGGAGCTCTCGGGCCTTCCCCGACGGTGTGGCCATTCCTGCCGCACCTCCGCTTTCCATCTCATAGCACTCCACAGTTCAGGACATGCTTTCACCAACGCCATCTCATTTCATTCTCCAACGACTTGGTGAGGGGGACAAGACGGGCCCCACCATCGCTGTTTCTAATCCACAGATGAGCTGGGCTGCCCCAGATTGTTGCACAGCTGGGGAATGTGGAATTTGGACTTGGCGGCAGAGGCCGGAAGTCTATGTCCATAGCTGTTTTCTTTAGGCCACGCTGAGTGCAGGGCTGCTGGCTTCCCAGTACAGGCTGATGGGCTCCTTCATGAACTGCCCAGACTTCTCTTGGGCCCCAGTTCACCCCTGTTTTCTGCTACTTGACAGGAGGCAAGCATTATGTTACCAAAGGGAGAAACTGAGACCACACAGAAAGTAATTTCTGGTCCTTCCTCTTCTTCCTGTTTAACTCACCTCTAGGGATGGGATGTGAGGGTACTCGGAACCCCTCTGCTTCCTTCACAGAGCCTAGGGGTGCCTCCTTCTCCCAGGGTTTAGTGTTATGTGGGTCAGTATCACCAGGCAGGACCAAAGCTGACATGGAGACCTGTCTTTGGGTCCCACAGACAGAGTATCCGAGAGGGGCCAGCTTTCCTGATTGCCCTTAAAGGATGCTAGGAGTGAGTGCCCCACACCAGGAGCTGCGGAGCCACCCTTGGCTAAGGAGAACGCCAGCTGGCCTGGGTCCCCAGGGAAGCAATGGGTCTGGAGCATGGTCCCCTTCAGAGAGGCCTCATTGTGGGGGAAAAAGGAAATGACTTCCTCTCTGCCTTACAAAATACCACCTAGGCAACTCTTCTGCGCTGACCAGAGCCGATCTGAATTCTGAATGCAGTCTCTCCCATTCTGTTCTGCGGGCTCTACTGCTCCCTTGTACCGTACATACACTTGCACACTTCCCCGCCCCCCACTTCCCAGTCATCTCAGTTATGCGGGTCAGTGGGTCTCAAGTTTTCCCACCATAACACACCTGAGGGATTTCAACGAGCTCAAGGACTCATTATGCGTGAGCCTGTCCCCAGGGATGGGAAGGCGACTGTGCCCTTGGAGAGGATGTGCTAGAATTTAAGAGGACATTTCTCACTTTCAGAAGCATTCCCGGCGTGGGGGCAAGGACCCTGCCTTCTTACAGTTGAAAATGCCTGGAAAATGTCCTTGGTCACATATAGTTCAGGCTCTCAGCAGGGAGACTAAAGCCCTTCTCCTTAATGTGTAACACTCTGTCCATAGGGTAGCAAGTCAGTTTCAGGTGTTGACTAGAAGCCTGGGGTCCCAGCAACAACAGTTTCACTGGCAACAAATTCCCTCTGAGTGGGGCCCATTTATTGTGGGCTTCTCCAGTCAGCAATGCCGAGGGTCTTCCGATCCCCGAAGAAGGGCTTTCAGCTCTCCCCACATGTCTGGGTTGGTCCTAGCCCTCAGATCACATCTCAGGCTACATCTACATCTACCTCCACTGCATACCATTGCCTTCTTCTTCTTTTTTTTAATAATTTTTTATTGTTATGTTAATCACCATACATTACATCATTAGTTTTTGAGGTAGTGTTCCATGACTCATTGTTTGTGCATAACACCCAGTGCTCCACGCAGAATGTGCCCTCTTTAGTACCCATCACCAGGCTAACCCATCCCCCCACGCCCCTCCCCTCTAGAACCCTCAGTTTGTTTTTCAGAGTCCATCGTCTCTAATGGTTCGTCTCCCCCTCCGACTTACTCCCCTTCATTCTTCCCCTCCTGCTATCTTCTTCTTCTTCTTTTTTTCTTAACATATATTGCATTATTTGTTTCAGAAGTACAGATCCGTGATTCATTAGTCTTGCACAATTCACAGCGCTCACCATAGCACATACCCTCCCCAATGTCTATCACCCAGCCACCCCATCCCTCCCACCCCCCACCACTCCAGCAACCCTCAGTTTGTTTCCTGAGATTAAAGAATTCCTCATATCAGTGAGGTCATATGATACATGTCTTTCTCTAATTGACTTATTTCACTCAGCATAACACCCTCCAGTTCCATCCACGTCGTTGCAAATGGCAAGATCTCATTCCTTTTGATGGCTGCATAATATTCCATGGTGTATATATACCACATCTTCTTTATCCATTCATCTGTCGATGGACATCTTGGCTCTTTCCACAGTTTGGCTATTGTGGACATTGCTGCTATAAACATTGGGGTGCATGTACCCCTTCGGATTCCTACATTTGTATCTTTGTGGTAAACACCCAGTAGTGCAATTGCTGGATCATATCATACCATTGCCTTCTTCCCTCTTCTAGAGAATACAATGGAACTGGCACCAAGAGGCACATAGGGAGAGTGCCCAGTGCTTGGGACAGGGCTTCATTGGTCTAGTGCGCCCAGGTCCAGGTCCTCTGACAGCCAGAGGGGTGTACTGACAGCAGAGGGAGGGTCCTTGGGCGCTACACACTCGAAATGTCCACCTCAAGTACTAGAAGATTCTGGGTAGATATCGAAGAGTGTCTTCTGTGGCTGTCAAATCACTAAGTGGAGAGTCCATATCTTGCACATGATTTAGTGGCCCACGTGAGCCTTGAGAAAAAAGTCCAGTGCCTTTTCCCTTGGTGTTCAGTCCTGGAACATCAGCCTCCAGCCAAGTCAGAGTCAGAAATGTCCAGGAATCTCCCTGCAGCCCTCCAGTGTGCAATTACCCACGTGATTCCACATCCTGACTCCTCATCATTCCCAGGCTGACATCTCCATACATTTCTTACCGGAATCTGGCAATTTAAAGTGAAGTCGGAACAAAAGAAGGGGCTAGGATTTGCAAAGCGTACAGAAAAGGAAAAGTAAGAACAGGCCGGGAAGAGAAGAGAGATCAAAGGGAAGGACGGTGGTGACAGACAGGAGAGGAGGGGAGAATTACGGGGGAAGTGGGAGGCTGGAGGAAGCCGCCTAGTGGGACTCACGTGTTGTGGAGCACACACCAGCCGCAGTGGGGGTCGCCGGAGCCAAGGCACTCGCTGCAGCTCTGATACTGACCGCAGGACTCCACGGGGACTCTGGTGAGCTAGGACAGGAGAACAAGGGAAGGGTGATTAGGGTTTTGCAGAACGCCCAGGAGTTCACTGGCAAGAGATGCTATTCTATCAGATAAATCACCTAAATCAGCATAGGAACGGGGAGAGGCCCAGGGCACCAGAACTGAAAGGGACCTTGAGTGGTCATGTTTGAGCAGGTGGCCACATAAGCATCCAGGGGAGACAAACACCTGTTACTTGCTTAGAAGTCTCTGCCAATAACCTCCTTAGAGTTCATTTTAAGTTGTTATAGAAGATATTTATACAGTGTACATTTAAACTTTCCCACCGTCAAATCCCCAAAACACTCTACAAACATCCAATCATCACCTATTTACTTCTTATCAATGTAATAAATCCAAATGTTTATTGTTTCTCTTGTTTTCTCTTTTCTTCCTCCCTCCCTCCCTTCCTTCCTTCCTTCCTCTCTCTCTTCCTTCCTTCCTCTCCCCTCCCTCCCTCCCTCCTTCCTTTTTTCCTTCTTTCCTTTCTTTTCCGCTATAAGATGCTCTGCCTTCTTCCTAGTTCCCCTCCTTTGTGTTTGTTTGTTTGTTGTCATCTGTGTGGTCCCAGAGAGCATGTAAGTAAGCGGAGTCCAAGACCCTTCTCTTTCTCATTCTCTGTGCCTTTGAACTCACTGTGTACCTGTTAAGCTGTCCACTCTCTTTCTCCTGCTGTTGGCCAACTGGCTTTAAAAGTTTTTCACGCTGGTATTTTCATAGAAGAGCTGTTGCTACCTCTCCCCCTGCCCACACCCTTTTCATGACTAGAGGCTTCCTCTCCAACTCCAAAACCTTATACTCGCCCTCACCAGCCGCTTGTTAATGTGAAATGTTCCACGTGACATTCGGCTTAGCCCAAATGCTTCCATTTCCTGCATGCTCCGAAAAATCTTTTGCATGTCTTTGTTCTCCAACGTAGCTTCGCCCAGATGTCTTTTCACAGGGCTTCTCAGGGTCCAATACATAAGAGGTACTTAATCACGATACCCAGGATCACATGGAATTTTAATTTTTCTTTCAATAGCCTTGGTCTTTATTCTCTATGTTGCCAGTTTCTTCTTTACAAAAAGGTTTTTTTTTTTTTTTTTAATCATCCTATTCTGTTTGGGACACCATTGTATCTCCGCAGAAGACTTCTTACCCAATCTTTCAGCTTGCACTAAGAGAATTTGATGTGGCCGTCCTTCTTAATTTTTCGCCATTAGACAATAGGCATGGAGAAGGGCAAACCACACTGACCGGACTGAGCCTCTGTGCCTCATGAGCCAATGTGCAGGCTGCGTCCCCCCTGCTGCTGCGTGGGGCGTCTGCCTCCGAAAAATTCTGTACACTTGGCAGGGGCTACTTATAACTCATGCACAGGCGAACTGGCACCAGGGTCTGCTCAATTAGTCTCGAAACCGTCTTTTGGAATTAATTAATAATTAATTCCCAACCCCATATGATCTCGCTTCCCTTTCTCCCTTCACTTTCTTATTCCCTTTAGTATCTCTTTTGTGTTGTTTTGTTTCCTCATGCGCATGCTGAGCCTTCCTAAAGACCACCCTGCAATTTGACTTCTTCCCAGTTACCTGCTGGCCTCCTGATCTCCTTCTTGTAGTTTTGCCCTTGGCCTTTGCGACCCTCTCTCCATGTTCTTGGATGTCTTTTGGCACTTGTGGGATTTCATCTTTCCTGTTATTGCTGCTTGTGTAATCTGCATGGGCCATGCCTCAGCTCTGCCCATATGCGACTTTCCCCATTTTTGCAATTAATTCTGACAATCAGTTTTGTACAAATTACCCTGCTGGCTCCACACACGGCCAGGAACTTACCCTATTCCTGTTGCCTCTTTCGTTTCTCTCCCTACCCCTTAAGTGGGCACAGACATGCTGGTCATGAAAGCATATAAATCGTGGTTCCCAGCCCAAAGTACCCAGACTCCCAGGAATTCATGAGTGGTAATAAGGTCCACAAGCTATTTTCAATAGTTCCAAAAGCCTAATGGAAATTGGATTGTTGCTGTTTTCTTTTTTGTATGCATACTCAGTGATGTATGTCCTATATTAAAAATAGGAAATATATTATTACTTAATAAATGCAGTTTGTTTAGCAGGCAAAAATCTTTGAAAACATGATGCCTAGAGGGGAAAGAGTAATAAAAGGGACCTTAGATGGTGGAAGTTGGTAACATAAGTGCATAATAATGTTTTCATATGTTCCAGCTGCTTGTCTAGCACTCCATATTTTGCATGGGCTTAAGGAGAAAATCATGGCTTGTTCAATCAAAAGCATTTTCTTGGTCTAAACTTAATTAATAGCCTCCCCAGTTTCTCCCACTGACATGTTCTATAATCTGTCTTGGATGCATGTGCCACGGGGCTCCGGGGTGTGCCAGTTGCTTGGCGAAACTGATGTTCTCAAAAGGCTTTGCATTCAGATATCTAAAAATATCTCGCAACTGGTGTTAAATAGCACCAATACCTAGAATTGTAAAATCCTTCCTCTCCCGATTTTAAATGAGCGTGATTGTAGTTTGGTTGGAAAGAGTGTGGGAGCCCGCAGAGCCGGGTTCCAATCCTGGCTCTTCCATTTACCAGCAACAAAGTCCTGAGTCTCATTTTCCCTGGACTTTAAACAGGGAGATAAAGTCCCCACCCCCACCCCTCCCAGTTCACGGAGTTTCCCAGAGCACAGATGACCTGGTAGGCGCGAAGCTGCTTTGTAAACACATGAGCACGTTGCAAGTGACGGTTATGATTATCGTCCTTGTCATTAATCCCCCATTCTTCATTGCGTGGCCACGTTCCCTCTCTGCCACATCACAGGAATCTGCTCTGATGGGCTTCCCTGGTCCCACGAACTCCCCCGGGGGTATATCACAGGCCAGGAAGAACTTTTCTTCTTTAGCACCTTGATCATACCGTTTCCTCCTTGACTGCGATGTCTGCCCCTACACCAGTCATTGCTTCATCTCTGGGATGAAACTCTGGGGTAGCCCAGCTTCCTGGACTTATTCAGTGCTGTTACCAGCTACTCTAACAGGCCTGTCTTTTTCTCTGCTTTCCATCTAGCCGGATCCCTGTGGGACAGGGGCATAAGTCCTTCCCCGGCAGTTATTATGAGACTCAGCTTTCTCTCAACCTTTTCTTCTAGGATCTTTCTATCTATACATTCAGTCATTTTTTTTTTTTTACTCTTCTGAGCTTGATCTAGGTTTTTTTCCCATTCTTTTTAAAGTGTGGATGCTCAAACTGAGGTGCCCACGGGACCCTCACAGACCGAGTAAAATGGTTCCCGTTACCTGAGAGGTAGGTGATGCTCCCCTCGCCTCTCCAGGACTTTCCCAAAGAAGGTTTTTGGGAAGGCTTCGAAGTCCCATTTTCAGGCAGTATTCCCCAGAATGGCCAGCCCCTCCAGGACTGACTCTACATCTCCCAATCCATACCATTGCTTTGAATCCCTTCTGAAAACCAGACCGACTCCATCACTTATCTTGGTGCAATTCTATACCCTAATAGCTCCGGGAACCTTCCACACCTTGCTTAGGAAGCTGCACGGGGGCCCAGGTAGCTTTGGAGCCACCGTGGTGGCTCTGTGATTCTTTCTCTCCAAACCCCCAGACTCTCCACCCACACCTTCTACCAAACAAAGCTGCCTCTCCCTTCCCCCATCACCGGCTCCTCCTCTGACCCTGGAACACAAACCACTCCAGATGCAGAGCCACACGATTAATTAAAACCACCCCACGCTGATTAAAGTCTTAAGCTACAGTGCCAGGCATGCTAATTAACTGAGTGAGGGAATTCAGACCACAGGAAGAGGTGAAAAAAGGAAGTCATGGAGGGGCGCTTCTGCCTGGAGAACGAATCAGATGATGATTGTGACCCAAGCCATCCTCATGATGGATGGTCTCAGACACCACAAAAGATTGAAGTTTGTCCCCTGGCCACTGGACTCCGGGGGACGTGTTGATCGATGTGTCTGCAATAGCACCCTCCCTGCTTCTACAGACAGAACCTCTGTGTGTGTCTCTGAGTGTTGGTGGAAGTGGGGCTCCTCGGGTGGAGGTGTTCGGACAGGGTCTGCCCAGGGTCGTCTCAGCACATTCCACTGGATTTGTGCAAAGTCCTATTGGGCAGTGTAGTCGTTTCTCCAAAACAGAGAATTACCATGTGATCTGGTCATTCCCCTTCTGGGGACACACCCCAAAAGACTGGAAGCAGTGACTCGAACAGATATTTATGGACCAATGTTCGCAGCCACATTATTCACACAATCGCCCAAAGGTGGAAAGTGCCCCAAGGCAACCCAAACCCAAAGCAAAGTGACAGATGAATGGATACACGGAATGTGGTATAGGCCCACAGTGGAATACAGTCAACCCTCTCCTCCCGTCGCCCATCCACGGGTTCGCTTTCTGTGGTTTCAGTTACCCATGGTCAACTGCAGTCCAGAGGCAGATGATCCCCTTTTTCTGACATATGACCAGAAGGTCACTGGCAGCCTAACACTAGGTCACAGTGCCTAGGTCACTCACCTCCCTGCATCTCACCATGTGGGCATTTTATCATCTGATGTGAGATTATTATAATTGTCCTATTTTCCTATTAGTTATGGTTGTTAATCTCTTACTGTGCCTAACTTTATAAATTAAAGTTTATCCTCGCGTTGTATGTATACGTAGGAGGAAATGTAGTATATCTAGGGTTTGGTATTATCCATGGTCTTAGGCATGCACCGAGGGGACCTGGAACTTATCCCCTGTGGACTATGGTAATATTCAGCCTTTCAAAAAAAGGGACTTCTGACCCGTGCCACAACATGATGAACCTTGAAAACATTATGTTAAGTGAGATAAGCAAAAAAGACAAATGTTTCCGGTGTTAGACTAATAAATTCATGTTTATAAAATATTCTGAGATCCTTGGGTGAAAAGATAGGCATTGTTAACTCTTTTCAATTTAATTTCAAATGGACAAAAGGGTTTTGGATGAATATCTCTTATC